ATTCATTTTTAAAAGGAGACACGACACACATTTCTTGTGTAGTTGTCGATGTGTGTGCGTTAAGTTAAAATGTACATGAATGATAGTGTGTGTAGTGGAAAGGGGTGGGGGAGGTTTAGTTAAGCTCTTTAACATGATTTGTGTCCCTTGTGTTCACAGGAATCTGCCTGTGGACATGGGGGCTGGTCTAATCCTGAAACATCACCTCCCTTCCCACTCGCCCTTTAAGGCACCAACTAAAGCCACCACCACCAAACATACACTGTACTGGTATAATGCATGTAATAATAAGTTAAAGTCATTTCATCCACAACGTTGCAACATAAAATGTGTTTGTTTTTTTGTTTGTTTTTTTTTAGAGTAACTAACCCCCATATCAAGTTTTTTGTAAATAGTCTACATCTTTTGACCTTTTTCCACAGGTAGGATGTATTGATAAAAAATCTGCTGAGTAAGTAATATATGATGTAGTATCGATGTGTGCATCGATGTGTGCATCCACAAGGTAAGATGGATTTATGTGTAGCACAGACAGTCAGAACACCTGTGCGGCTGCAGTCACCGGAGTCCTGTTGTATTCTGGCCCTTGCTGTTTCTGCATTGCTTGCATCGAGCGCTGTATGGAATGTGGTTGTGTATCAATTGCCTGCTGAAGCTGCTGAGACCATTTGGTCTGGAAAAATATTTACCTCAGCCTCATCTTGTATCTATCGGTAAATAAATTGCCCATTTTATTTACTGATAAATAAATAAATAAATAAACCCCTGCTTTAACACCACTAGCAGGGGTGGTGTTAAAGAAATATATTCGATCTTAGACCGCTTTTTGTTTGTTTTTAATGGGTACAGAAAATTCTGACATTTTGATGGATTACAATTTATACCTGACTACTTCATGAAGATACACACACACAGATGTTTTTAACCTTAAGCACAAAGTACATTGCACAGGTTACTAAAATAGATAATTGACAAGTTCTTAGAGTATCTACTCTGACCTGAACAATGAACAACACAGTTTGATGTCTCAAAGCTGACAGCACATTGTGCAGTTATGAACAGGAGATAGTTGAACGGGTCTCGTGCAGAAGGAGCAGATTCTGCTAGATTTCCTCTTGATGACTTCTGAACACTTTCAATGGAGAAATGTTCCATGATTTAAAAATTTTGGCTAAGTGGTGCTTGCAATATGCTGATACTTTTGATTAAGTTCAATTAGGTGTACAGTTCATATCCATGTTCATAATTTAAGTGCAATCCTTTAATTTGAATGTTTACATGTAGTTACTGGGGCCAAAGTCAGAAGTTTGTCACATAGTAAAAACTTGTATATCAGATTGATGGCACAATGTAATGTGGATTTTCTATTGATCTTGTTGAATATTAAACTGAATTAAAATTAAATGCATTTGAATATGTCTTTGTTATTTTAAAAAAATTGGTGGGTAGAAGTATATTATTACAATATTTTTGTGATGCCATCAGTAAAAATTACCAAAAAAATTCAAGTGCAACCTCTGACTGAGATCTGGAAGATTACTCATCTCTGCACCCTCCTCCATGGCATATAAACCAATCAACAGACAACTTCAAACCAGCCCACCTGGACAACCCAATCACAGGTCTCTGGATTTCAAGGACTGGGGTGGTCCTGGGCTCCAACTACCAATTCAAAAACGCCAGACCAAACAATAATTTATTTTACCTGTATTGCAAAGAACTACATCACTCGGAATTTTAGTATTGGGGCATACTAGACAGTCCTTTTATGCGTGGACCTACCTTATTCTTGTTAAATGTGTTTCAAGAGTTTTGAATATTGAAACATGATGACATTTGGATTCTGAAACAGCTACGACATTCAGATTTACCTGCTGTCGCTGAAAACAAATCCACATTTCAGTATCCAAGCTGTGATTGGCTGTTTGTTTGTTTGTGCATATTTTCAGACTCATTCTGAAACCTTGTAATGTGACAGACAAATCTCCTTAAGCTGTTAAATATTACACTGCTTTCACACTGGTATTAAAAGCCTCTCTCATCTCCTTTTTAGTGTTCACACCTCCAAAGCACTCCACCTTTTCTTCCATTGTCAGCATGCAACAAGATGCACTTCACACAACAACATGCAGAGATATGGTGCTGCTCCTTCACCACAGTACTACAACTATTCACTAAGAAGTGTGCACATGTGTATTAATCTGTAGTGCTTGTTGTAATGTCGACCTAATATAGTTGCTGGCATAAGTGTACCTTCTCCTGGTCCCTAAATCCCACCACCCTAGCTCTGATATTTCCTGACATTTATAGGAATCATCTCGATCTCTTCAGATGAGCAGACTGCAGAGTTAACACAGAAAAGGATAAGAAAGGGATGAATACAGAGGAGGAAGGAACAAATGAACAAATGAAAGATAAAGAGAAGGGCAGCAGATACAAAGATTTTGTGACTCCTGTTTGGCTAATGGCGTAGTAGAGAGCACACTGGAAGAGCTCTGTGAAATGCTTCTAGAAACAGATGAAAAATATTCTGCAAAATCTGAAAATCTTTCTCATGTGCCAAAATGGGTAAGACAACAAAAAAAATCACACCCAAACATTTTAAGAACAAGAACCCAGTGATGGGGGCCAACATGGAGGTGATGCTGCAAGTCCTAGAGGAACAGTTCATTTCAAAGCTTTCTGTTCAATAATTAATGGATTGGGCTTTACTTGAGACGATACTTGAGCAACACCCAAAGCAGAGTGCTTGAGCTCGAAGCCACCTGTAACATGCTAATAAAGGTAAACAAGATGATAAAGTTTAAAAATAATGACCTGGAAAAAAGGTCCAGATACAATACTGGAGAAGGGGAAAGGGGAATGTTCACAGAATGGTTGATGAAGATTTTTGAATCAGAGTCATTCCCCACACTGTTAGATATGGACAGGGCTCATCAGATCTGTGTGGCTGAGACCTGGAGGCTTCACATCCATTCATTGCAAAAATACACCAAAATAAAGAATGAATGCTCAAACTGGCAAGGAAAAAGGCTTTCTCATTTTTCACAGTAAAGAAATCCACACCTTCCCAGCCTGCAGTTCCTGCAGCTTAGGAGCTCCGGATTCCTTTACAAGATGTTTTTCTCCGCCAAGCTCCAGGTCACGGACAAAAACGTACCTCTCACTCCAAAACATGCAAGATCCTTTGTGATGAGGTAGTAATGACCCTGATAGCATAAAAAATCTATTTAGAGTTGCTAGCAACTCTAAATATAATATAATGAATTATAAAAATATGTTGCTCTTACTTCTTTAACTGCACTGTTAAAAGAGGCTCGAAGACCATTTAAGAATAGAATATGCTCCTGTAAATTAGATTTCTTCCACAAATGTTACATTTTTCAGCAAAACTGCTTTGAGCAGCAGATATTATAATTTACCTACACACATAGGCAATAATCTCTTTTTAACACAGCAAATATTGTATAGAATAGAGAGGCAATGTTCATTAAAATGATCAGTCAGAGAAAACACATCACTGAGATAAAAAGAAGTAGGCAGAAAAAGGACTGCTGTCGAGGAACTTAAAAACCTGAAGAAGACATCACAGCGACCTCAGAGGTCAAACAATGTTCAAACCTAAAGTAAAAACAAGGCTCCTGATACATCTATATTAACAAGATTTGATTACACACGAACAAAAAGATTATTTTTGTGTTTGATTTTGTGGTGCTTCTTCGTACCTTAGTGACTTTTCAGACATGTTATATCACTAACCTTTTGATTTCTATTTTCTTGTTTTTTCTTCTTTTTTTGTATCACTGACTACAACAACCACAAGCGTCTTTGGTCAAGACAAAGTCGATGTGTTTCTACCTGATTCAGAATCACATTATAGTTACCTTTAGGTCTTTTAGACAAGTGGTGCCCAAAGTCGGCCCTCGAGGGCCGGTATCCCGCATGTTTTAGTTCTCTCCCTGGTGGAAGTAACAACCTCCTCAGCAAGTCAATACTCTCCTTAGCCCTTCTAATGAGCCATCATTTGATGTGGGTGTGTTAAACCAAGGAGAGAAATAAAACATGCAGGATGCCGGCCCTCCAGGACCGACTTTGGGCACCACTGTAATAGGCCATAAACTGCATGAAGTGTGATATTTAAAATGTCATGTGCACAAAGTGAAACACTTCATTTTTTTCTGAGTTTGTTTGTATCTTTGCTGTGCAATCAGCCAACAACAATAAGTCAGCAGTCTGGTACCTCAGAGTGAAGTGGGGTTTTATGGATCAAAGATTTAGGTGCAAAAAGAGATTCACACTTAAAAACAATCTGACTAAATTATGTGCTGATAACTAATGGATACACATGCAAAGAAATAATTAGAGCTTCTTCACCTAAACTGAAAACAATCAAGTTTCAAAGAAGAAAAGGAAAGTTATGGAGAAGAGGAAAGACAACAAGTATAGCCCAAAAAAAATAATAATTTGAAGGTAGATAAATACTGACTTGTATTTTTTTCATTTGCATTCAAACTGCAAATGAATGAACATAATATTAGGTAAAGCATAACCAAAACCTACATGAGAAAACAAAAAGGAACAACAAATAATGCATTATCACTGGTTCCAACACAAACGTCTGATGAGTTCTAGAAGACATTACCATGCATGTTTTAAAGACTTTTATGTAGAGAAATTCTGACCAGTTTAACTGAAACATTCACTGCAAAATTGCAGATTCTCTCAATTAATTAATTATGTAAGGAAAATTGCAACAGCAAAATTACATATTAGCCAGGAAGGTAACTGGCACCTATAGTGAATAAACATAAACACAAGTGTTCCATAGGTGATGAGTTGCTGTTACTGTGAGCTGCAAGTGCAAGCAGATAAAGAGGGATGCAGGGAGGATCAAACAGAGAGGAAACAGAAGTATTCACAAAATGAAAAACAAACAAAAAGCACATGAAAATAACAAACATTAATCGCCACACTGAAGACGGAGCACACTAGTTGCTTACTTTGAGGTCTTCTGCAAGGCATGGAAACTTTCCATTGGCTGACAAGTCCAGTGTGGATGCACAGGGCTGCTGCGAATGGCTGGTGTAGAGGAGGCGGGTCTGGATGCAACGAAGGGCGCGAAGCATCCAGCCATGTTGGCGTCGGATCTGCCACTGGAGCTGATCCCACTGGCTTCCAACCATATGGAGGATATCCTTCAGAGCTGGAGGGATAAGAACAGGAAGAACCAGGGGACAAGTCAGAGAGGATAATATTTATCAGAAAAATATCTTACCTACCTATGGCTTTGGTAAGCCAGAAAATTCTTTCAAGCAAGCCATTTTCACAAAACAAAACATGGGGATTAAAACTGAACTGTTGGGAGTTTTGCAAAAAGTTTGATGATAAGTGAGTCTTATTCAATCGTTTTATCTTTTGAACTGTGTTTATTGGTTGCATCATCCAGAATGTTCAGTGCTTTGTCCATATTTGAAGCAAATACATTTTGGTGACCCAGCCATCTCACAGTTTATACAGTTTAGTTGTAACTGGAGAAGGCAGGTCTGCTATGTTAATTCTTAGACATTAAGTGTTTTTTGTAATCATTATTCCCCGTGGTTTGGGATGCTGTGCAGTTGGACGAACTTTTGGTCTTACGCTGTCAGACAGTTGTTTTTATCCAACTACAACTGTTTCAACAAGAATGTTTTTGTTGTTGTTATTGTTGTTTTTATTGTTGTTTTACTACCAGCACCAGCTGATTGGTTTCATCTCAACAGTACTTCTGAATTTAATTGCAGCTATAATATTGAAACTGAACACAGCATCAATTGCTATGTACACTTTTCTCTCAGTATTGCCTGTTTTTGCTGTTTGGTTCCACATCGCCAATCCCTCAGCCCCAATATACTTTCTTGTCTTTAACCTTATCTGACTACATTAATAATGTTTACTTCATGAAGGTCACTGGCTTAATCCAGGTAAAAACAATAACAATAATATTAATGTGTGAAGTAAGAACATACCCAGCTGGTGGGAAGTGATGATATCGAGTAATGACTTTCCTTCTGCCAATATGGTCTCCTTCAGCACATGTTGACTGTCCACATTCAGCTTGAAGGTCTAAAAGAGAAACAAAGTTCACTGTAATTCAACACCATAAACAGAACAATTCATGGGTTTGGAAACTTAACCAGTCTATCTTAAAGTAGCTAACCTGAAGGTTCCTTTTGTCCATCAGATAATTCTAAAAAATAACAAAGCACATTATATTTGAAATATTTTGCTAAAATCTAGCAAAGTAAGCATGGCTCACTGCAACTCTTCTACAGGAGCTTTGGTTCTCAGTTTGATTGGTCATCCTTATAGTGTTTCTGGCCCAAAAACGTGAATGTGATTTGACTTTTCATCAATTTCTTCCATTTTGGTGACTCTCCTTTCACACAGCACGTGCCTTATCCCCAGATTACTAAGCAGGTAATAACTGAATAATTAATTCAGTCTAATGTACTATTGATAACTAGGATCAGTTTGAATGTATGTATGAGTAAACTGAAATATGTTTTTTGTACAGTTGAGATGACATTTGCTGTGAATAGGCACAATATAAATAAACTTGACTGAATTTAATAAAATTTTGCTTAGGTGTAATTTTTTTTAGAAATCTAAATTGATATAACATTATGTAACCATGCGAGAGCCACATTTTTTGCTGCTATTTTAGATAGCAGCTTGGTCGTTTAGAGTTTGAGATGATTACCTTATGAGCACTGATGTTCTCAGAGGAGAGTTTGCTGATTGGTTAAAAAAAATAAAAAAACAGAGAAAGAGGCCCCAGAAGTTTGAATATAACTATACTATTTAAGCTCTCATTGGTGAATTAATCTGATTTTGACGGCCGTTGCATTAATTGTAAGCTTTTAACAGTAATGAAAAAAAAAAAAAAAACATTTTAGATTTTCTAAAACATCTGCAGTTAAGAAAGGGGGAGGGATGCAAATTCTCATCACATAATTGTGTAATACATTTTGTCTGTTTTTGTACTATTTATACATCTGAACCTATGTATATTTTTATGTTATCATCTGCAAAGGGTGATAACATAAAAACAGAAGTCCTACTTTGATATAAAGAAAAAGAGAACTCGAGTATAGTCAGCAGGAAAAACACAAAGGAAAGGGGAAGATGAATAAAAAACATGAGAGTAGATATGATGCTGGATGAACTGATTATAAATGGTTAAATGGATAGATAGATGGACAGACACAAAGTAGCCTGAGGCAGTGTTGGTAAAACCCTGCAGTCTGGTCTCTGAACACCATTAGAGCTCTTTCTGATCTTATTTGTGTGCGTGGGTTGGCTAGTATGTGTATAAGTCTCTCTGGAGGAGCTCAAGCCGCAAGACTTAACCACCTCTGACAACCTGCTGTGCTGCAGTGGGAAATGCTGCACACTGATATTTAGATCCATGCATGCTCACACAATACACACACTTTGCTCTGAGTACACTACTGTAGGTTGTGTGTATACATGTGTCATTTTCCTAATAATACATTCTATGAGCACATCAAAAGAAAGCACAAAATGAAAAACATTCATCTGAATCAGCTAATAAATAAATAAGAGGCTTTAGGTATGATTGTCAAAACCTAAATGAAAGAAATGCTTTAGTTTTTCCGTTCATGACTTTCTTTAAAGGGTATCTGTAACATTGTTTTTTACGTTTCTGTACTTCCATCTGAATCTTTACTGCTTCTAGAAAATCTGAGCTTTCTTTGGCTATGTGTTCATTTGGTATCTGGAAAATGAGACATTCTGAAAACCTCAGAAATATTACTGCCCTGCTACCTAGCAACCATAGGGCGCGAGCAGGTGACAGCTCAAACGGGTCCACTCAGCCCTTTGAATGATAATGATAGTCTTATCATTCAGAAAGTGCTGCTACATTCTTGATGGTAGTGGAGGAGATTCCACTTCTTCTGCTTCTGGCTCTGACTCAAGAGTCAAAGCCATACCACTGTTCCTCAACTTGTAGCCATTTTACAGATTCAAACCGATGTTTGTATTAGTGCTCAGTTCCTTCTCGCTTTAATTCTGGGTGACTGCAAATTGATCAACACATCATACTGATCTTATCTTCCTCCACAAAGGCCTGAATATCAGCCACTGTCCCCTTTTGCTCTGCTGTGAGAGAGAACTGACTGACTGACAGACCCTCTCACGAGGTCACACTTGCCCAGTCACCCAACTGTTGCCAACTTAGCATTTTTGTTGGAGTGTCAGTTATAAAAATCCTTATTGGCCAAAGTCGATCAGCTGGCCAGCCATTTTAAAGTGCCGATTGGCCAGGAAATTAAGGTATTTAATAGAATTTATTATTGAAAACCAGTAGTTATACTACATAAACAGTTTGACCTAAACTATTGTCTGTTTTTGTCTGTAGAAGTACATGACTGACACATTAGTTTAAAAGTATTTGTTTGAGTTTAGTGGAAACCCCATAAAGTTGTTTTTTAACTCTGACACTGACCAGTGTCAGCTTCTGACTTATGCACTTTGCATGCAGTTAGTAAAATTTGTTTACAATAAGTGATGGTGGTTAATCCTTTCTGAGGCAGAGAGGAAAAGCTGCCAGAGCTCCATAAGACGGGGTGTTGCTCTCTTTGTGGACATCTCCTTATTATTCAGTGATCTTTTCTGTGCCTTGTGTCAGCTTGACTATTGTTGAATTAGATCAGTCACTTTAAAAGGGCTGATCTAATGTTCTCTTAGTTTACTTATTAAAAACTTAATTAGCTGGTATTATTTTTACAAAAGTCTGTTTTCAATTTCACATTAAAGGATTTTTAAAATTGTTATAGAAAATATAAAGTTGAATGGACCCTGATTTCATCATGACTGAAAGGATGAAGCAAAGAAGGTGAAACTTTTTATAGGCATTGTATTGTGTAATTGAGAAAGTATTCCTCCACCCACGATGAAGTAGGACCACAGTCTGTTTCCCAGATTCCTACATCAAGTCGTTCTGGTTGCTCCAGAGACATGCTCGTTCTTCATACAGTAGGTATTGGAAGCTGCTCTAAAAATGAATGTTTTATTTGTCAGAATGCTTGATTAAAATTCTGGCTAACTTTGTGTCTATTTTCTCTCACCCTTATTGAACACCTCATAATTTTAGCACAAGGCATCTAAAGATCACATGTGGTGCAGCACATAGCTAATGCAGGTAAACTCCACAAGATCTGTGAAAGATGAATGGAACCTCAACTACAGAACAGCAAAAACAGAAATAATAGCAATAATATAAATTGAAGGAGGTGGTTCTCGATTTCCTCTTTGAGGGATGCTCGGGCTCCCGTACTTAGAAAACACCTGCTTTAATTAAAACGCATCATTTCTTCTTTCTTTACGATGTGTAAGCAAATAGAAACTACACGACTGACTTCTTCACCTCTCCATCACAGATTCAACACATTTATACAACTATTAAGATATTTAACACATGGATGTGAGACTCCTGTTTAAAAAAAACATGATGAGAAAAAGCAAAGAAAAGCCAGCATGCAGCTTCAGTGCATCTCTACATTTTTTCCTGAGACATTCCTTCGTCTTCGATGAGAGATAGATGGCCCATGGCATCAGTCAACACATGACAAGGTCACACCCCCACACGGCCAATATTTATGGAGCAGGCTATAAACAGAGGAGATGAATGGAGCAGGGCGCTTTAAATCCAGGCAACTAGCAAGAAGCTGGAGGAATCTGGCTAAAACTGGTCAACAGAGAATCATTTAGAGCTTAGCTTTCATTTTAAATTTACAATCCCACATCTTTATTTTTGTCTGATCAACACACAACTATGTAATTAATGTTTATTTGCAAATGCATTCAGTAGATAATTGCAACAATCTTTCCATTAATTTGTGTATGATACATATTAAATATTGGCCTAGATAAAGAGGCTAGATTTATAAAAAGTCATCACATGTTATATTATTGTGTGTGGTATGAACAGGAGGTGTGACACTTTAATAAAATTTAATGTTGAACATTTAGCCAACTTCACCAAGGCTAAGTCCTATACCAGAGACAAAACAGATATTACCTATAAAATATCTGGATAATAATAAAAAAAGGAATTATGACCATAATTATTTAAGACCAGGACTTTCAGTTGTCTGTAAAGTGTCTTTTTTTTTCCATCAGAATATAATCCACAATTTTAGCACAAGGCATCTAAAGATCACATGTGGTGCAGCACATAGCTAATGCAGATAAACTCCACAAGATCTGTGAAAGATGAATGGAACCTCAACTACAGAACAGCAAAAACAGAAATAATAGCAATAATATAAATTGAAGGAGGTGGTTCTCGATTTCCTCTTTGAGGGATGCTCGGGCTCCTGTACTTAGAAAACACCTGCTTTAATTAAAACGCATCATTTCTTCTTTCTTTACGATGTGTAAGCAAATAGAAACTACACGACTGACTTCTTCACCTCTCCATCACATTTATACAAATATTAACCAAATTTAAAATAAGTACCTTCATTCGTTAATGTTTGCTGATTGTAAATGACCTTAAATCTCACTGCATTTCACAGGGGCCACTCTGACCCACTTAATTTCCTGATAAGCTGATGAATACCTAACAGCTAATAAACATAAAATACATCCATCAAAGCTACAGAAGAAACAGCCTGACAGCCTGTGTCTCTGGGATACGGCTGGTTGTTAGGAAGGATTTAGGTTGTGCAGATTAGCTGGGCTATCAGAGAGCAATCGTATTTCAACACCTTCCTCCACCAACGATTTGGCTCAGTTTCCTCCGTTTAATATATGGAGAGCATGGAATCGATAAGAGTAGAAAAGCCAACTATCAATCACGGGATGATAAGGCATGAAAAGCAGCTCAGCGTTTATGCACGTTGGACAGCAGGCGGTAATAGGAGCCTGTGTGTGTTAGAAATCTATGTGTCTGTGTTTGCATATGGAAGGATAAACTGTAGCAAATTTATGCAGCTCTGCAGACAGGGAAAAGAGGAGGTAGACAAACAGTAGTTTTCATATATCTCGTTTTTATTGTTAAATACAAAACTGATTAATTACACAACAGACTATTA